CCATTGGCATGCTCTTTTTCTTCATAGATTTTCCAGTAAAGACAAAAGAAGTAAATGAAAATTGAAAAGAAAAACAAATAATATTAGTAAATTATCATCACCATTATTCCATCCACTACCGCCATTAAAATCCAGCTTTGACCAACGCCTTTGTTTCTCGACCCTCGGTAACGTATATGCGTTTCTTTTGATATATTTTTTTTGGGTCTAACTCTGAGTTTCATATTTCTACTTCATGAAAATTGAAAAATTAACCCTTTACTTTAATTTGTTAAAATTTTATTCTCTTATTTTATTATAACTAAGAAATTAGTCCAATCTATAACCTTGTTAAGGGTAAAGTATATAAATGATCTCCAGACTATAGAGTGTTACTTTGTTAAGTCTTCTGACTATTAAAAGTTATAAATGACACCTTAACTATAGGGTATTATTTTGTTGAGTCCCTCAACTATTAAAAGTTACAAAATGATCATCTAACTATTCATATATTCCAATTGTCCTTTTTAGTTAAAAAATTTATAGTATTGTTTGGATTGTATAGTCGTTTAAGATTATGAGATCAGATTTTATTATATCTCAGTTAGTAAGTTAACGTTAAACTCGTACGACCATTAATTTTCTAACGAAATATGACGAGTTTGAAACATATGAATAGTTGAATTACCATTTTGTAACTTTTAATAGTCAGAGGACCCAATAAAGTAGTGTCTTGTAGTCAATAGACTACTTTGTAGCTTTTAATAATCGAAAACTAAACAAAATAATATCCTATAGTTGAGGGACCATTTGTACACTTTACCTTATTGTTAAAATTTATCATTGAATTATTAATCTAAAAATTAATAGTTCATCAATTTATACATAGAAAAGTGGGGAAAAATCTATAATTTATAACTAGTAAATGAACAAAAACCATTTGTTTAAATTAACATGTTCACCAATAATAGGATTAATTTTTCAATTTTATAAAGTATAAGGATCAAATTCAAATAAAAAGTAGAAATATTAAGTTGAGTTTTGTCAAAAATATAGGGATGAAATTCATAACTATACCTTAGTCTTTTTTGTCTTTGAGGGGACCACACTCCACCCTTTGAGTTCATTTATGGTTTTATTTTGCTACAGCCGCCCCTTCGCTGTATATAGTTATGTCTATTCTGGGCAGAGACGACAAAGGACAGGATTTTTTTTGTTACACCCAATCCATATACTTAGGGCTGTAAATAGGATGATATAAATCATGAGGTATTCGAAATTGATTCAATTAAAGTTTGATAAATATTCGATTCAAATAAATTTAATTAGAGCTCAAGCTCAACTCTAATTATTAACGATTCGACCAAACCACTTAATACTTTACTCGAAAAACTTATGAGCAACTCAAAAATATAATATATTAAGATTTTATTTTTTTTAAATAAATTATTAATAATATTAACATTTATGCGTTAATTTTTTTAAAAAATGTAGTATAAGGTTTTCATGTATTTAAGGTTCAAGTTCGAGTCTGAGGCTTCAATCATTTCTCATTTTGAGCTTCATATCATGATTTCGAGTTCGAGTCGAGCTTGAAAATTTTTAGGTTAGTGAGTTTCGAGTCGAATCGAGCTTCATTTCAAAATTTTCCATTCGAGTCGAGCTTAACAATACTCGAATTTGACTAGACTCGTTTACAGCCCTGCATATACTAGTAAAAAATATTATATAATCTCGATTTTATTTAAGATTTAATATAATTTTATCTATTTTTAAAAATAAGTACTCTCGTTGTCTCATAATTTGTATCTTATATTAACTATGCACATAATTTTAGGAGATATATTTGATCAAAATATGATAAAATTATCCTTAAAAGTTGATTGATAGATTTGACATATTCATTTTAATAAGTATAAAAAAGTGAGACGTATAAGAATAAAATAGTAAATCTAATTGTTGTTATTTGTTGACGTTTTTAATATAACATTTTGAATGAGACGGTTTTAAAAAAAAAAGATAATTTTAGTGGATATTATTTATGGGTAAAAATCTAAAAAATATTTTAAAAAAACTAAAAAAATATTTAAATAAGTATTTTATATAAAAATAATAAAAAATATATTTTAATAAATATATCAAGATAAGTGGTATTAGATATCATCTCAATTTAATTGGATTCGACCCTAATTTTTTTTAACAAATCATATTTTAAAATCTAATTTAAGAAATTAATCCTCCAATTCGACATCTTTTCAAGAGTATTACAACCATTGATATCCATGAAATTTTTTAATGTATTCAAATGTCAAAAAGATACCTGAGGTTACTGTATTTAAAACGTGACCTTCAAAATCTTTTTTTTATTAAATGTGATTATTAAACTTAAAAAAGAAAGTCAATATAATCATTTAATCAATAGTTTTTACGTTGGTCGTTACGATGCTGACGTGACACTTCATGGTACTGACGTGGTAATTTATGGTAGCTGGTGACGTAGCAAATAGGTTAAATTATTTTTGTTTTAAATTTCTAGAGCCAAATTGATATTTTTTAAACTTTAAGGACTTGTTTATTTTTAAAAGATAAAAATATTTTAAATTTAATGACATATGATATCCCTTTCATGTTTTATTCTAAGTAGTAAAAAGTAGTAACATTTTTAAAAGGGTCAATTATATATTTAGTATATAAACTATCAGTTTTGATCCGTTTTAGTATTTAAACTTTTATTTTTTTCAAAATCATACCTAACGTTTAGTATTCATTTTATTTTAGTACATGTCATTAAAAACGTAATGCATTTAGTATCTATACTGTAATTTTCTGTCCGTTATAGTACCTAAACTTTTAACTTTTTCAAAACTTAACGTTAATTTTTGAACAAGTGTGTTAAAATAAAACAAAAAAACTAAAGTTTTTAACGGTGGGTACTAAAATGAAACAAAAACTAAATATTAAGTATGATTTTGAAAAATTGAAAGCTTAAATACTAAAATGGATCAAAAATAATAGTTTAGGTACTACAATTATAATTTACTCATTTTAAAAACAGGTGTTTGATGCAAATCTCAACCTCTCGGAGTTGCAGTTGGTGGAAATAGTTGGATTATGACACATTGTAAATGTAATAGTCGACCATGATGACATTAAAAAAAATTAGTGATAATATTTTTATGAAGGTTGGGCTGTCGTGTTAGAGAGAGGGGTATTTGAGGGTAAGGATGGGCAGAAAATTCGACAGGTTTTGATTCGATTTGATTAGATCGATTTTTTTTATATATTTTTGGCATGAGACTTTAATCCGACAGATTTAACCCAATTTGATTGGGTCAATTTTTTTATATTTTGGGTTCAAGTCAGATTGAGTGTTTTAAGGTTACATTCGGGGTGGATCGGGTTTAGGTGAAAAATACACGACTCAACCTCAAAAAAACATTGTAATTTTACTCTATATATTTAAGGATAATTACAATAATACCCCTCTGTATATTATTTTCTTTCAATTAAATCCCTATTTTTATTGAATAAAAATAATATTTTCAATAAATATATTATTTATGGTCAGGTCAGATCAAATTCAAATTCAAATTTTATCTAAAAAAATCGAGTCAGGTTCAGGTCAGGTGGAAGATGTATATTTTTCAGATCAAGTGAATGATTTATAATTTTTGAATCTAGTCGGGTAGATCAAAATTCGACCTGACCCAACCCTATTAGAAGGTGCCTTTGAAGATTTTAAAAATTTAATATAGTTGAAATTCTTTTTGTATTTTTTCATTAATCTTTTAATTTTACATTCTTGAAATTTATGATGTCCGATCTGAATTATTCGAAAATCAAAAAATAGATCAGATATCTAAATTTTTAGATCAAATTATCAGATCAACATATCGGATTAGATCATTTTGCACACTCCTAATTTCAACCATACTCAAACAAAACCTAAAAGTCAACAACAGTCTTCAACCACATATAAATTTATTGTTCAAAGATCTATTTAATATTTTAACAATTTAAAGGTAAAATAAAATATTAACATATTTATTAATAATGTTATGTCATTAATTTAATGGGAAATAGCATGGTTTTCAGAATCATATCGGTTAGCGAACCGGTTATGTTATCGGTTCACTGGTTCAATCGGTCGAATCGATCCGATCGGTCGGAAGAACCGAACGACGTTATAAAAATTTAAATAAAAATACCAAAAATATTTAATAAAAAATAATTTTTTATATCACAAGTCATATTCAAAGCAAGTCATAACATATATAAGTTAAAAACCATAAAATCAAGTGAAACAAAATGATTCAAATTAACTACAACATAATATTTAAGGTAAAACATATTAAATAATAAATATAATTATATAACTATAATTAAAAAATAAATTTGGGGTTAAAAAAATCATAACAAAATTATATAACTATAATTATATAACTATTTTTTCACTTCAATCAAGCTCGAATTTTAGGCTTCAATTGAGCTTCTAATTTTTTTTTGAGTTCAAGCTTTTTTGAGTTCAAGTTTCAATATTATATTTCGAGTTTGAGTTGAACTTGATAATTTTTAGCTTGTGAGTTTGAGTTGAGTTGAGCTTACTTTTAAAGTTTTCAAGTTAGAGTCGAGCTCAGCAATACTCGAGTTCGATTTGGCTCGTTTAACAGACGACGTTGTTTGGTTTAATTTTTTTTAAAAAAAAAAACAAAAATCCCTGTTTTTTTCGGTTTTTCCCGGTTTTCAGTCGATCCGATTCGAACGGTTAAACGGTTCTGATCGGTTCACTAATAGCGGTTCAACCAGTTTAAATTAAACCGGACTAAGTAACGATTCCCGATTGAACCGGTTGAACCGACCGGTCCGATCAGGTTTTCAAAACAGAAGGAAATAGGTCAAGCGATCATTTTGTTACAATAAAACAAATCAGCCCATCTAATTTCTCCAGTGGGCCTTTCGATACTATAATTGAAAACATTAGCTGAGCTCGCCCCAAGTCCCCACTGCCAACTCCACTCTTCTTCCATTACAATACACAGCAACAAACTGCAATAAAGCACCTTCTTCTCCTATCTCATTCGATGAGATTTTGAGGAGCTAAATTATTTCTCTTATCTCTTCGATCTTTTTCTATTAAAACCCCTTTTTGTTGTTTTAGTTTGTTTTTAATTATGGGTTAGTTCAGAGATTCTCTGATCGTTTTAACTTGAAAACGTGGCATTAAAGAGCTCGCTGAGTCATTGCTGAGTCTCGAGTGTCGAGCTCCCTGAATCTGCAGAGGTGGAAAATAGAAAGAAATAGTACTAAGAAATATAACCCAAAATTGTTAGTTCTCTGCCTTACCAAGTAACAACCAATGATCCTCTGATTTCTGGGTGCATTAAATTTTTGTTTCTCTGTTTATTTGTTGTTGATCATTAATGTCTCCGACTAGTTTTACTCTGTTTTTTTTTTAAGAAAAGCTGCTGATGAATTTATTAGTTTTTCATTGTTTAGTTCTTAAAATCTGGCAAATCATAAAAGGTAGTCTTGAATGTAATCTGTTTTCGTTTTGGTTTTTTTTAACAGAAGACTTCTTGGTTTTCTAAGAATTTATAAAATCAACAATGTTGACGTGCATAGCTCGTTCGAAGCAACCCGGTGATGACTCAGTGAGTCGACGAGAGGAAATGGACTCTTCCACCACTGCCAGCACTAAGCACAATCAAGCCATCAAATCCCTCACTTCTCAGGTGATTGAATTCTCAATTTTTCGAGTTCTTTGGTATTTGTTTGGCTCTAACGATTTTCATTTTGGGTGTTTTTTTTTAGTTGAGGGACATGGCGCTGAAGGCGTCGGGGGCGTACCGGCACTGTAACCCCTCCAAGGCGCAGAGTCGGTTGAGGAACTCGGGCGAGTTCGACGCGGACTCGGAAAGGATCGGATGGTCGTATCGTAGGACGGGGAGTTCGAGCTCGGCGACACCGAGGACGTGGGGGAAGGAAATGGAAGCGAGGTTGAAAGGGATGTCGAGTTCGAGCGGAGAAGCGACTCCGAAATCGTTGAGTGGGAGCCGAGTCTACACGGTCGTGTTCGCCGAAGAAAACGAGCCTAGAGAGTGGGTGGCTCAGGTGGAGCCCGGCGTACTTATCACCTTTGTTTCACTTCCTGGCGGCGGCAACGATCTCAAGAGGATACGGTTCAGGTGCGCCGCGCCCTTATTTTCCCGGTTTTCTATTTCGATGGTTCTGATTTGTTTTCCGTGCATTAGATTTTTCATCTTGCGGTTGCGGTTATTTTAGAAATTTTAATCAATTTGCTTGATTTAATTCCCCCATAAAAAACTGGGTAAAGTCAGCTAGAGGTCAATGAACCATATAAGAATGATCCATTTGGTAAGTAATCTTTAAAATATTATAAAACAGTCTTTAAATATAAGGTCATTGATATATATTATCAATACATTAAATATAAATATCCGGGTTCTAACACCATAGATACAATGAGTGAGCAAGGAGTGAGCGATTAATGACAAAAAATTGAGATTTATCTTTGAGCAGATACTACCTTATACTTACCTTAGATTTATAAAAAAATACGAAGATTTGACTGTATAAGTTATGACAACATAGAATTTATGTACTTGTGCATATGTAAACTCTCAAAATATGTTTGAAAATGCATCAAAATTACATGCACTCATGCAGCACTAAAGATTAATACTTCATATAGTTATGGATTTGGCTGTCTGTGTTTGTTTTTTTTCAAACGCTGCAACCAAACACTGCCTTAGCAACCTAGGTAGGAAAAGCCGGAGTTTCTGTAGGTGAGGGCCCAAGGGGTGTCACAGTAGGCTTCACGCCTAATTAAAAGGTATCCCATAAAAGTCCAAAAGCAGGACTCATTGTGCCTCCACCCACCATTGATTGTGTGGGCAAAAAAGCTTTATTTTCACTCACCCTTTGTCATCTTGTCGACCAACCAACAACAAAAATAAAATTCCCCTTCACGCCTGACTATCCGTGCTATTATCTTCTTCCCTTGTTCCTCCTCTAATGACCCATTTCTTGTCATTTTGTCACTAAACAAAAACTACATGCAAGACAAAAACTTTGACCCTTTTTTAAGCTTAATATTTGCCAGCACACAAAAGACCATGTCTTCAATGGATGGTGATGGGAGGGATCGGTCATTTTATCAAGGGAACATTGCTGTTGCCTCTCGTTTATGACCCTTGGCCTCATTTGAACTTTACTTTTTTCCCATTCTAGAGGAATTTGATTCTAATTGGTCTCTTAATTGACTGTATTTTCCATTTCCACTTTCATATTCATGGTGATGGTGTCTGATTTAATGCTTTGATAAAGCTCCGACGACTAGACACATCCAAATTCATGGATGCCACTAAGAATTTTTTAATATTTCTCCTTACCTTAGGCTGGTTGGTAGCTTATTTTATTATCCTAACTAATAAGGAGAAATTCTTAGTCACAAAATGTATACGAGGCAACCTAGTGGCCCCAATATTATTAAATTTTCCATTCACATTGAATGGTATAGGTGCATTTATACTGTCCGTGATTGGTATTTAGTTAGTGACATGTAGAGCTGTAAACGAGCAAAGTCGAGTTCAGCAATACTCGAGCTGAACTTTAAATAAATGAAAACTTTATGCTCAAATTCGTGAGCCTAAAATTTTCAAGGTCGACTCGAACTCGAAATCATGAACTAGAGCTCGTAAAAGCTCGAAAGGGCTCGAAAAGAAGAGAAAAAATCTAAAACTTAGCTCGATTAAAGCCTCAAACTCAAATTCGAACCTGAACCTTAAATACAAGAAAATTTTATATTGCATTTAAAAAAAATCAGCACATAAATGTTAATATTATTAATAATTTATTTAAAAAAAATAAAATCTTAATATATTATATTTCGAGCTGCTCATGAGCTTTTCGAGTCGAGTATCAAGTAGTTCGTTTCGACTCGTTAAGAACTCGAGTCGAGTCCATTCGAGTTGAGTATTTATCGAGTTTTGACCGAGTCGATCTTGAGTAGCTTAAGATCTGTCTCGTCTTATTTATAGCCCTAGTGACATGTGAATAAGGGTAATTAGGGACGGACACATTTTATGTTAGGGATGAAGTTAGGGATGAATTTATAAAATTTTACGGAGGCGAAAATAAATTATTAATAGAAAATATAAAAGAAATACTTAAATTATATGAGAATTTAAAATTTTAAGGGTGTAACAACCCCGGCCGCTCCTCTCAGTCCACCCTTGAGGGTAGCATGGTATAGTTGTTAACCTTATGTTTTATCTTTTGTTTTTTTTTATGATTTTAACCGAAACTTTGTGCTTGGCTTACCTAATGCATGTTACTGTATTGCTCCATTTTAGCACATGTATGTCTTGAACCTCCAGTTTTTGATTTATGGCAATGCTAATCTCATGAACATCAGGAGTGCTGAAACATAGTTTATTTTCTTTGACTAGTCGGGAAATGTTTAACAAATGGCAAGCTCAAAGATGGTGGGCAGAGAATTATGATAGGGTCATGGAACTTTACAATGTTCAGAGGTTTAACCGCCAGGCATTCCCGCTACCAACACCCCCTAGAGCTGAAGATGAGGCAAGTTCATAGGCTGTTGCCTGCTTTTCATAGTGTGAATGAACCTATGTTACTCGGACTCTGGTGCGAGTGTTGGATATGGTTCGATTTTCCTTGAAGTTATCCCCATGTCCATGTATTGAGCATGAATGTCGAGCATGACTGCTTCAAGAACATTAAAGAGTCCTAGCAACATGGGAATGAACTCCACCTATCTAATGCCCTGCACTATTGTTGTAAAAGAGCTGAACTTTGAATGTTAATAACATCGTTGTTTTGGTTTCTTACAGAGCTCGAAAATGGAATCAGCAGAAGAAAGTCCTGTAACACCACCACTTACTAACGAACGTTTACCTTGTAGTTTACATCGTCCAACTGGGATGGGAATGGCTTATTCATCATCAGATTCGCTTGATCAGCACTCAATGCAGTCTCGGCACTATTGTGACTCTGGTCTTACCTCAACCCCAAAACTTTCCAGTATTAGTGGTGCCAAGACAGATATATCATCCATGGATGCCTCTATGAGGAGTAGTTCATCAAGAGAGGCCGACCGCTCTGGAGAGCCATCCATTAGCAATGCCAGTGATCTTGAAACTGAGTGGGTTGAAATGGATGAACCAGGGGTTTACATTACTATCAGAGCCTTGCCAGGGGACAAAAGGGAGCTTAGGCGAGTTAGATTCAGGTATGGTTCTTTGACATTCTTCAATATTGACCAGGACCATCATAACTGATAGAAAAATGTGCTCGGATGAATTTTTCGACCGGCACATCGACATTTTAGAAACTTGCAACATATCAAATTGGTAAATATAGCAGGTTGTAGTTTAATCCTTGCAGCCCCTGTAAGTTCCATCTTACAAGCTACAAGTTTCTGAATCATTGCAAATCCTCCAAAAGCCATTTTTTCCGAGGATTTGGTTTCATTATTAGGTTGATGGGTCCAGCAAAAGTGGAGTCCATCTTAGAAACAATTATGAGGCTGTAAAACCTGTTTTTAACAGCATAATTGCCGAGTCACTTATTCACTGATGAAATGTGATTGTCTTAACTTTTTACGTCACTCTAAATCATGCAGCCGGGAAAGGTTTGGAGAGATGCATGCCAGACTGTGGTGGGAAGAGAACCGAGCCAGGATACACAAACAATACTTGTGATCGAGCGAAACGGACGAGACTAACGGTTTGCCGGCGCTTCTCTAAATCGTGGGGGGTGTTTATCTTTGTCATTCTCTTCAGCCATACTTGTGGAATCTCTCCTACAAAGATCGAAAGCAGGTGTTTCTGTCACCTTTTGCTAAGTATTTTGTTTTCCCAGCTTCATAGTAGCTATAGGAAATGTGATGGTGGGGTTTTATAGTACAAGTTTCTTTAAAATCAAAAGTTTGGGGGTAAACAGCATCAAATGTGTATCTGGGGTGATGGTAAAAATGGCAATCCAATTATGAATGAAAGAATGTTTTTCATTCTTCTTTGGTTATATCTAGGTTCTTTTGAGACCCAATGATCTTTTAGAGTGAATTACGCGTTTAATACCTAAATTTCGTTTTAATATTTAAAATTTTAATTTCTTTTAGAATTTATACCTAAAATTTATTTATTTATTTTTTGTTTCATTACCGTTAAAAACTTAAAAAAAAAGAAGGGTTTTGATTTGACACAGGAGACCTGTTAAAATAATAATTAGGTCATCCAAAATCAGACATCTTTGAAATGACCATCTAGTTCAGTTAGTAGAGCATAAGGTTCTTAACCTTGGGGTCGTGAGATCGAGTCTCACGGAGGGTATTTCATAATTCGGAAGTCTCCTACGAAAGCTGCTCTCAACCTGACGTTGGGGGCAGCCTATTATTCTACCTCTTCTTATCCCATTACATATGAGAATGAGGGTTAACTAATAAAATTAGACATCTTTCTGATTGAATTTTCATCAAAGAAGCACAAAGCTAAAGGAGGTACTGTTTCCATTTAGGGATGGAAATGGATTCCAACCCGATAGATTTTGACTCGACTTCATTGGGTTAATTTTATTTTTATAAAAATTCGAGTTTAGATTGAGTCGGGTCAGAGTTCTTTTAAGTTATGTTTGGATCATGTCAGATGCGAATTTAAGATGAAAAATATTTGACATGACTTGAAAAAATTATAATTTTATCTTATATATTTAGAGATAATTAAAATAATATTCATCTATATATTATTTTCTTTTAATTAAATTTCTACTTTATTGAATAAAAATAATATTTTTTTTAATAAATATATTATTTCAAATGGGATCAGATTTAAATTTTATCTAAAAAATCAGGATAGATTCGGATCAAGTGAAACATATATATTTTTCGAGTCAAATTTAGATCGAATGAAAGATTTATAATTTCCGGATTAAATCAAATGAATTAAAAAACTAACCCGACCCATATATATCCCACTTGCATTTCATTTTTGTCCGATTCGGGAGGTGAAAACTGGGTGATAAGGATTACAAATGACCGGAAGAAAAGTGAAAGGTAAAAATGACGAGACATTACGCACCCCATTGACATCTGATTGGCTGTTGGCTGACAATTTAGCCCCTACAAAGAAAAGAAGTTACCTTTAGTCCTTACAAAAAAAAACATCATCAAATTAAGTAAAAACTAAAACAATAAATAAAGTTTTACCCAACAATCAAACCTGCAAACAGCCTGGCCTCGTACACTCCCACCCGCACGCGCGGCACTCTCAACTTTACATCAACAACAAAGTACACAATTCTCCCCTCGATCTATATTAATCGATCAATTGATCGAATAACGATATTCAAAAAAAATATTATATATCGGTTCCAAACTAAACAGTCCAGTTCGTATTGAAGAGTTCTCTTTCTTTGGTCCTTGTTTCACATGATCTACTTGCACATTTCTACTTGATCCGTCTCTTTGCAGCTTTTGACACTCCCTAAGTAGACATTAAAGCTTTAAATTAACCCTTCGCTGTCCCTTTTCTGTTGTTTCCCTTCTTTGATCTCAAATCCCCCCTGTTTTTTCCCTGTATAGATCTCTGTTTCCCCTGTTTTCGTTTTGTGTATGCAAAAAAGAAGAACAATATGCATAGAAGAGAGTGTTCCACGATAGACACTACGGTTCCTCGTAGAAGAAGAAACCCTTCTTTCTCTTCGACTCTTTTCGATGCTATTTATCGTTCCGTCGACGATTCGGGGAACGGAAACGAGCCGACATTGCGCCGTTACGTGGAGAAAACAGGTGCAAACCCTGTTAAGAAACAGGGCGGTGGTTCCATGGAGAAGGCTTCAAGTCTGAAACGGGCAATCATGATTGAGAAATGGATTGAAAAGCAGGGCAATTACGGCTCAGCTGTTCATTCCAACTCGGCTTCGAGCTCCTCGGGTTCCAGCAACGGCGGGATCTTCTCGTCCTCCGAAGTGGAGTCGAGAAGATCCAAAACGGACAAGAACAACAAGCAAGAAGGTGGTGGAGGGTTCACAAAGACCAAACTCAAAGCACTGAAAATCTATGGCGAATTGAAGAAAGTGAAGCAACCGATTTCCCCCGGTGGTCGGATCACTAACTTCTTGAACTCCATTTTCAATGCCAATGCCAAGAAAGTGAAGATGTGCTCCGATGGGGTCTCCGGCGATGTGAGTTTTCGTCGAAAGTCGAAATCGACAGCTTCGTCACGCGCTTCATTTTCCAGGTCTTGTTTGAGCAAAACACCTTGTTCGAGAGGTAATAATAAGTACAGTGATGGCAATAAAAGGTCAGTCAAATTTTGTCCAGTTAGTGTCATTGTTGATGAAGATTGCAGACCTTGTGGCCATAAACGCATCTACGAAGAAGATCCCAGATTAATCCCCACTTCAACTGTTCAAAAGAATCTTAAATTTTCTTCAAGAAACTTGGAGTTGAAGAAGAAAGAATCTGCAGTTGACAGCAAAGCAAGTGATTGTTTAAGGAGTTATCAAAGAAGGGGTATTGGGAAACTGAATTTGACTGGGTTTATAGAACATTATGACGATGAGGACGAAGATGATGATGCGCTGAGTTGTTCGAGTTCGGATCTTTTCGAGTTGGATCATCTGATCGGAATCGGAAGGTATAGAGAGGAACTACCGGTGTATGAAACTACTAGGTTCAAAAATAATGAAGCCTTTGTTAATGGCTTCATGTTCTAAGCTCATTTTCTCTTTTGTTTTTCTTATTCAATTTGTAATTATTGGCTTTGGGGTTTTCAATTTAAAAAAATCAACTTATTTGAAAACAAAAAAATGTCATCGACGTTGTTAAATTAAGGGATTCATGCAACTATTAAACATTATAAAGGGTAAAGTACACAAATGGTCCCTTAACTATGAGATAATACTTTATTAAGTCTTTCGACTATTAAAAGTTATAAAATGGTCATCCGACTATTAATCATGTTCTAAACTCGTCATTTTTTGTTAAAACTTTGACGACAATCTGAGTTGTATGTTAACCCGCTGATTTAGATGTTATAAAATCTGATCTCATAATCTTACATGACTATCATATATTTAACGAAAAAGGACAAGTTTAGAACATAATGAATAGTCGAGTAATTATTTTGTAACTTTTGATAGTCGAGGGACTCAATAAAGTAATTCCCTATAGTCGAGAGATCACTTTGTAATTTAATAGTTAAAGAACTCAATAAAAAATTATCACATAGTCGGAGGACCATTTGTGTACTTTACCCTAGAATTTTCTACCGAAATAAACGAAAAACAAACCTAAAGTGAAACAGCAAAAGGCAGCACAAATCTTCTCCCCACGAGAGAAGGGGAAAGTGAAAGCTCTTTGCTTTTCATTTCAACTGGCTTAAGCACATGGCCTCAACAGCCACAAAAATTAATAAAATCTTCATTGTTTTTCATTTTTTTCATATACGTTCATATTCGAACATTAAATTTTTTTTCATATACTTTCACATCTATTTTAGTTAGGGATGAACGTAAAATTTTATATTAGAGAATGAACTTGAACTTATAAAATTATAACAGGTGAACTTAAATTTATAAAATTCCAGGAGACGAAAATAAATTTTTAATAAAAAACTAAAATGTAAGATTATTTTAAAATTTTAACAGAGCGACTCTCCACCCGACCCTAGTCTATTCCTGATTATATACCTTTGTATCGCATTAAACGACCATCACATCAATGCTTAGATTCTCTTGGACATGTCCCATGGCTATCACGTTGAACACGGACCCTTTGAACACTGTTAAATCCTTGTAGGGTTGTTTTTGTTCGATCCGAACATCGAATTTCTTATCACTCGATCTACTAACAACGTTAGATAACGAATCGAACCGATGAAGTAGGTCTCATGTGGAATCCCAGAGATCAAAATGCAGCAGTAATTTGTGGGACACCATAGTTGACTTCGTTGCAGTTCTATCAATTACTTCATTACCAAAAGAAGAGAAAGATAAAGGAAATGGAGAAAAACCCCAGAACGGTGGAAAAGTTTACTGAGACATTAGCACATGTCATCCTCAAGTTGCGTTCAAAATGGGGTTTGGAATGAAGATCAAGTGACTCAATAATAGAGAATATATATATATATATATATATATATTGCCATAAAGTATGAGTGGAGCATGTTTCTCAACAACCAAACACGAGTTTGTGGTACGTACCATAGTAGGTTACTTGGATTGTATTGTAACAAATGCATGTGGAGCAAGCAATGCCCTGACCATTGGCCAATTGGTTTTCGAAGGATAAGTGGTAGTATAGTTAGTTAAAACTTACATGTACCACTAGGGCTGTAAATGAGAGGAGACAGATCGAGAGCTATTCGAGATTGACTCGATCAAGGCTCGATAAATACTCGGATCGAATGGATTCGACTCGAGCTCGAGCTCGACTCGAGTTCTTAACGAGCTGAAACGAGCTACTCGATATTCGACTCGAAAAGCTCGTGAGCAACAGTAAGATTTCATGTATTTAAAGTTCATGTTCGAGTTTGAGTTTGAGGCTTCAATCGAGTTAAGTTTAAGAATTTTTTTTTCATTTCGAGCCTTTTTCGAGCTGCTCACGAGCTTCAGTTCAGGATTTCGAGTTCGAGTCGAGCTTGAAAATTTTAAGCTCGCGAGTTTTCGAGTCGAGTCGAGCTCAGCAATACTCGAGCTCGACTCGGCTCGTTTACACCCCTATGTACCACTTCCTCGGCTATATAAAGTTCCATCTAGGGATGACAAAAAAAATCATATTCGACTGAATTTGATTAAATAAAACTAATTAAAGTATAAAAATGATCTTTCGACTATAGAGTGTTTTATTTAGATTTCTTACTAGTAAAAGTTATAAAATAATCCCCTGACTATATGATGTTATTTTTTTTAAGTACTATGACTATTAAAAATTATAACGATTCCCTTAACCACTGAGATAAATTGATTCGTGCTTAGTTAAGTTGATCGAGTTAGGGAGAATATGCCGTATCCCACTTGGGATAATAATGGAAATATTATTAATTAACACTTAATAAAATATATGTTAAAATTTAATTTTAATAAACTAATATTTATCTAAATATTTTTTATTTTAATAAAAAATATATTAAAATTAATTTTTTGGGCGGGCCCCCGGGGGGGGAGGGGGGATCAAATTCAGTTTTCAATTAAATTACTGTGGTGTTTATGCTAGCAATAATTTCAAAAGGGCCCTCTTGCTGTATTGTGTCGGGTCCGAGGCACGCGATCTCTGCTCCGTAGTGCTGGCCTGGCAAAGCCCACAGTGGAGCGCGTGAATTACATACAAATTGAGTGAGAGTGAGGAAAGAACCGAGGACGATAAAGCCGCACCTGACCGCCTGCTAGCATGTCCACCAAGTGCACGTGTGCTCATTTTTGTTGATTATTTTAAGGTTCAGAAACCAGTAAAAAAATTAAAAAAAAATACAGCTTTTAATTCGGGTTTATTTAGAAAAAGCCCTCTAAAATATGTTTGTTTTTTGAAAAAGCCCTAAAATATAACCTTTTTCAATCTCCACTTATATTTGTTTCATAAAAATTGTTTCAATTTTTATAGATCTAATTCAATTGATTTTTTAAAAATTAAATCATAATAATTAATTTACTATTAATATTTTTAAAAAATAAACACACTAACAATATAAATTTATATCATAATAAAATATGTAAATTTATTATTAACCTTCAAATTAAATGGTTCTAAGTTTAATGATATGTATCACTAAATTTATTATTTATAATGATATAAATTTAGATAAAATATTATTTTAAGTAATATTTTTCTTATGATAAGAGTTGATTCGAATTATTTTAAATTAAATAAGTTACTTGAATTAATATTTTTCCCATCATAAGATTTGATTTGAATTAATTTTAAATGTAAATTTAAATGAAATAATTAAATTAATATTATATATATATCATTATGAATAATTTTTTTAATTTAGTTATTATATAATTATTTTTTTACGATTCGAATGAGTCCAAGGGTCATATAACATGCCAGGGGAAAGCCCAGAATTCAGACTCCATATGATTAGACTAACAATCAACGAAGCCTAGAACAATAATGTACACAAATGGTCCTCGAGTATAAGATATTGCTTTGTTGAGTCTTTCGACTATTAAGATTTATAAAATTATCTCTTGAATATCATTTTATAATTCCTTGAGTCTTTCGACTATAGGATATTGTTTTGTTGAGTTTCTTAACTTAAAAGTTATAAAATGATCACCCGACTATTCATATGTTCTAAACTCTATTATTTTTTATAAAAAAATTTGATGACAGTCTAAGCTGAACGTTAATCTGTTAACTAAAATATGATAATCGTTTCAGATCTTACGATTAGATTTTGTTATATATAAATAGCCATACTAATATTTTATAATTTTTAATAATTAGGTGATTCATCAAAATAATGTCCTATAATTAAATATCTATTTTTGTAGCTTTTATTATTTGGTATACTTAAGAAAGTATTTTTAATAGTCGGGGACTATTTGTGTACTTTACCATAAAAATAACGGCTATTCTCCGTTCGCGGCGTAAAGTCGCAAGGAAGTTATCTTCGTGGCTGAGCAATCAAACAAACAACCTCGAAGAATCAATCTCCTAGCCGTGCCCAACGCTATTTTATATCAGGTTGGATCATCGTAGCCTCCGTAAAATCGTCTTCGGACTGCTTTCGTAGTATTCGATCCAACGTGAGTTTTCTCTTTGGCAGGAGAAAAAAATCCAGCAGGTATCAATTTTGTTTTTAAACAATTAGTTAGCATTGATTTCCAAAATTCCTGCCGATTCTGTGCTGATCGGTACGTGCTTGTATCTGATAGAGTGCTTTTAGTCGGATAGTTTTGGCAATTGGATAATTAAGTCATCTAAATGTTACTGATATGAAGGATTTGATTTTTGAAATAGTTGTTCTGCTAATGAAAGCAACTCGACTGTGTTATTTTGTTTATTTGATTTATTTTGAATTAATCGTATGGTTGGTTGTTTGTTCACATTTCCAACAATTGGGTTTTGCAACTGATTGAGCCTTTCTCACTTTAGTGTATGAAAGATCAGGTAAACGTATTACGTGAACTGTGTAGTTTGTGCTTTTCAGATCTTTTTTCCCTTGAAGTCCGAAGTCTTTTCAGTACTTTATCAATATCGAAGTCTTTTCACCAAGATAAAGAAAGTTGAGTGTTGATTTTGGCATCGGAGTTGTGAAATGCCGAGAATCGTTATGCAGTCCTCCTCCGTGAATATGAAGGGAAGTTGTGAATAATATCCAGGAGACGAGTGAATAAGAACAACTATTATGGGGAGAAGTGTTGGAATAAGATACAAAACTGCAGTTTTATTCTTTAATTTGTTTTGCTCATGCTAATTTGGGATACTGTAGTAATAGTCTTGTTCATTTATTGGATTTCTTCTTAAAATGTAAAATCTGCATTCTCTATTGTAATTTCAACTTGAAAAACTTCACTCTTATAGCTAACTTTGTATGTAGTAGGTATTCTGTTCTTGTCTGGTACTCTTTCTATCAATGATCATGCACGAGAAGGTTGCTAACTCTGCTTTCTGCTGGGCGAAGGCAAAGAGGAACCTGTTTCGGAGTTGCCTTGTTCAGCTTCACCAAGGTGCTCCTATCAATGAAGAGTACCAGTCAAGAACAGAATACATACTACATACAACAGTTAGCTATAAGAATGAAGTTTCAAGTTGAAAATACAATAGAGAACGCAGATTTTACATTTTAAGAAGAAATCCAGTAAATGACCATGCACAAGAAGGTTGCTAATCCTGCTCTTTGATTGGCGAAGGCAGAGAGGAACCTGTTTCGGAGTTTCCGTGTTCAGCTTCACCAGGGTGCTCCCATAGATTCCTGTCGAACGTGTCGTCGATGCATGGTGTGTTCATCCCATGGATGCCTGTGGAACCTACTTCTAGGTCCTCCAACATCTGTTGCAACAGCCGATCATCCCACTCATCTGTGAGAATAAACATTGGTGCCAGAGGGTTAGACTTTAATGTCACATTGACAAAACAACAAGAGAAGATATGGACACAAACCATCAGAGTAGAAGTCTTGAGGGTCTTCTGTGAGGTATCTAGTCAACTGCTGATTATTATTCACTGGTGCTGATGTTTGAATCGGTTGTCTAGTCAGCTGCTGATTGTTATTCACTGGTGCTGAGTTGGTATACGGAGCTAATGCTTGAATAGGTTGTCTAGTCAACTGCTGATTGTTATTCACCGGTGCTGATGCTTGAATCGGTTGTCTAGTCGTTTGTGGATTGTTATTCACTGGTGCTGATGCTTGAATCGGTTGTCGTGTCAACTGCTGATTTTTATTCATCGGTGTTGAACTTGTATATGGAGCTGATGTTTGAATCAGTTGTCTAGCCAACTCTGGATTGTTATTCACTGGTGCTGATGTTTGAATCGATTTAGTCAACTGCTGATTGTTTTTCACCGGTGCTGATGCTTGAATCGGTTGTCTAGTAATTTGTGGATCGTTATTCACTTGTGCTGATGCTTGAACCGGTTGTCGTGTCAACTGCTGATTGTTATTCACCGGTGCTGAACTTGTATACGGAGCTGATGCTTGAATTAGTTGTCTAGCTAACTCTGGATTGTTATTCAATAGTGCTGATGCTTGAATCAGTTGTCTAGTCAACTGATTATTGTTATTTACTGGTGCTGAATTTGTATACAGAGCTAATGCTTGTCTAATCAACTCTTGATTGTTATTCACCGATGCTGATGTTTGAACTGGTTGTCTAGCCAACTGCGGATTGCTATTCATTGTTGCAGATGCCTGAACCGGTTGTCTAATCAACTGCGGATTCTTATTCACTGGTGCTGAACTCGTATTCGGAGCTGATGCTTGAATCCGTTGTAATGGATATTGTTCTCCCCTCAACCTCGACACGATACTCGCCATTTGGGATGAACTCAAAGGAGAACCTGCCAAAAAGAGACATGAAACTGAGGCCGACCCGAGAGCCAGACAACAGTTAACCGAACATTTCAAAATGGAGTTTGTAAATACTCACAAAGTAGGAAACCGCAGAGCAAGTTTTCTACGTCATACAACATGTCCATATAAAGTTCATATAGGTCACTATCTTCTAAATCTTTATCAATTGTAGCGCTCACTTCTGACAGTCTTCCTTCCCCCGCAACCTGTATCAATAAAGCCATTTAAACAGCCGAAAAAACTAAGAGCTGCTTATACTTTCAGTCATCTTACCACAAATATGCCACCTCTAGAAGTGACTTCGGTGAAGATTCGGTGCAGGTTCAGTTCTTTTCCCCGGAACACCGGAACACTGTGATTTGAAGAGGAAATGGAAGTTAGTAAAATCAAGCAGGCAGTGAAACATGAACAAAATGGTGAAAGAACAAGCTGCAAGTGGCTTACCGGCAAGGTGTGTTTTTCGCAATCGATAGAGATCGCAGAAGTGAATAAAAGTGATGGGGATTTCTCAATGCATGTTCATATTGATCACGATGGCTGTCCGGTACATTTACGACGCTCGGGAAGATCGTTGAAGGGCGAGGCGACAAAGGGTTCCGGTCTGTAGCCCGATAGAGCTGATAGCAATGATCGCATTGAACAGTCTGGTTCATCAAAATCATGAAATATTCCGCCTCTGCATTGCACGAAGGGCAAGCAGCCATGAACGATTGTTGCTTTCCAACAGACAAGGCAGGAAGGACGGTTGTTCGACGGTCGGAGAAGCCTGTCACCGGAACAGCAGGTTCTTTTCTTTTACCTCGTCTTATGCTTTTTCTACGGTCTTCTTTTTCCGGTTTATCACCACCGCCCATTGGTCCCCGTAATCTTTGCTTGAAATCTTGCGTCCAAGAAATGAAGCAGATGAGAAAAACTGAGAAAACAATTGCTTTCCCGAGAAACCCAGTTTGTTTAGAACTCAATAACGGAAAAGATCAAACAAGAACTTGAAACAAACCAGATTAAGAAGAGCTGAAAATGTTGGAACCAAAACATAATACACATAAAATCTAATCAAGATCTAATAACATTAAACCATCAAAAATAAATACTAAATTTACTAAAGATTTACCTTGAAATTTGATATCTTTCCTTTAATAAGATAAACTTATTTTGAGTATAAACTATGTATTAGGATAACAAAAAAATACAAGTTAACCTATTTTCTGGAGTCACTACCTCTTTATATATCTAATTTAGGAATCAGTTATTATATGTATTTATAATTGTGTCTCTCATTAAATTATAAATACAATTTGATTATATTTACACTTTTATTTTTATAAATATTTTTTATACCTTACGTTGGGATTGAACCAAAATTTAATATTAACTGAGGTTGAATTTTTTTAACGACTTTAATTTTTTTTTACATAATTTTACTTTTATTGTTTAATTATTTTTTAAAAATATAAATGATATCATTAAATATGCATATTAGTTCTATCATTTATATGAAATAACAAGTAGAAATTTAGGGATTAAATTAAAGTAAATAATAAAAAATGTATGATTTTAAAATATGTTAAAGACATAACTATCACATATATCTTCAAATCATGAAATGCATCTTTTAGTGATATTGCACTAAATATACTAAAATTAAATATAAGATCGAACAACTCCAATTAATAAATATAATATTATTTAATTATTTACCTTTAAAATTTTACACTCGATTGAATTGGATCACTTCAGTAAATCTCTGACAATCATAGTAGAAGGGGCTTACTTTTGTCGTGGAATTGATTGTTGTATCGTAATATTTTGTGATGGAAGAACGAAGAATGTATAACTTATTATATTTTGTTTTGGGAAAGACGAAATCTATACAATTTATAGGATAAACTACAAGTTTAGTACTACTTAAACTATCACTTTTGTTCTGTTTAGGTACTCAAAATTTTTTTAAATCATATCTAACATTTAGTTTAAGTTTCATTTTTACCCCATAGTTAAAAACTTAACAGTGATATTGAAGTATCACCCTAAGATAATGTCACGTCATCATTTGAAAAAATAAAAAAATATCATGTCAATAGTCTTGTTAAATTTTTAATGATAGGTATCAAATTCAAAATTAAACTAAATATTAAGTATGATTTTGAAAAAAGAACTTGTAGCTTTCTTGAGAACGAATAACCGAGAAAAATGTAACTAAATCATAACTGTAAGGGTGCGTTTGGTTCACGGAATATAAGATTACCAGTGGGAATGAGATTATCGGTGGGGATAAGATTACTGATAATGTTGTATTTTGTGTTTGGTTGGTTTAGCAGGATGTAAGATTATCGTATTTGGTTAAAAGAATAAAAGATTATTGGAATATATATTTTACCAAATTGTCCTTATTATATATTTGTTTTTTTAACAAGTTGAACTCTACTATAATTTTACTATAATTAATTTATATATTTTCTTTAAAAAAATTAAATTCATAAAATTTATATAATTTTTTTTACAAAATTAAAAAGATAAATAGGGGCTAATTTTGTGAAAATATTAGGGGTTAATTTTGTCATTTTATCTAAAATTTAATAAATTTAAGAAGTATTTTATAACTATTTGATAAATTTAATAATAACTGTATAATAATTTAATAAAATTTAATGATCATTTTATAATTATTTAAAAATTATTTTTTAATTTTTAAAACTTTAATAATCAAAATATATTTTTAGTATAATTTAATAATTATTTATATAGTTTGTAAAAAAGGATAAATTATGGATTTAGTATATAAATTATTAATTTTGATCCGTTTTAGTGCATAAACTTTCAAAATTTCAAAATCTTACTTAACGTTTAGTTTTCATTTTATTTTAGTACCACACCATTAAAAATTTAACGTGTTTAATACTTAAGCTATCAGTTTCGGTCTATTTTAGTACTTAAACTTTCATTTTTTTCAAAATCATATCTAACATTTAGTTTTTATTTTATTTTAGTATCCACCATTAAAAACTTAAAGCGTTTAGTACCTAAAATATTAGTTTTTATCCGTTTTAGTACCTAAACTTTCATATTTTTTTTCAAAAAATAACGTAAATTTTCAACGGGAGTACTAAAATGAAACAAAAGCTAAACTTTAGGCATGATTTTAAAAAAAATTAAAAGTTTAGGTACTGAAACGTATCAAAATTGATAGTTCAGATGCTAAATTTGTGATTTACCCAAAATATTATTTCTAGAAAGATAACCTTATCCATGGATTACAGCTTGAGAGGCTGCCACTTGGGAAGGGAGATAGAGATAAGAAACCAACCTGATATCCTCTAATTTCCACCTCTCAAAAACACCTACTTTAACACCCAATCTTCATTTCTCAGCGAAATTCTCAATCAAAAGGTGTTGCTTTTAGACGACGAACCAACCCAACAATGGCTTCTACTTCACCTATTTCAATGGCTCTCCCACTAACCGGTGCCACCACCCAAAAGAAGATGCTCGGTTCCCAGGCTTTGTTTAAGCCACTGCCGGTGAAGCCATCGACGGAAATGGCGGCTAAGAGATCCAATGCAAGGCTGGAAGTGAAAGCTTCTTCTTCTTCTTCTTCATTCAGTGAGAAGGTGGTCAGTGGATTGACAGCTGCTGCTCTGACAACATCCATGGTGATCCCCGAGGTGGCTCAAGCTGCCGATGGCTTTACGCCGTCGCTGAAGAACTTCTTGCTTAGCATTGCGGCTGGTGGTGTTGTGGCTGTTGCCATTATCGGAGCCGTCATCGGTGTGTCCAATTTCGACCCTGTCAAGCGGAGCTGAGCCATTGAATTTCTCCCCCCCTCTATGTATCTGTTTGATATGTTTCCAGCAATGAAGTTCCATCTTTTCTGTGTGTTTCTGAATTCTCAAAAATCTATATTTTTTACAAAATAATAATTGGCATTTGCCTTATGTATGAGTAAATATAGTAAATTAATGTCGACATATACACAAAATACGTCGCACTATCGGGTGGCCATTAACACCACCAAATGCATAGCATACTATTCATTCACATCTCAGGGCTCATGGGAGTCACTCCGACCGGGTATCTCGGTTACGTTTTCAGTCACTCCGAACGAGTGTTATTACAGTCATTACGGTAATAATGGTTTTGGACGAGACCTTTATTGCTATATAACTACTAATATTCTGATAGAATCCGTTATTTAAATCTTCGACTCCGACTTCACACCAGATCAAGTATTGCAGAATTCCAATACGACGACGATCCTTCAAAATAAGTTTATTTTATTCACAAACGTTAAAATTTAAACATTTAATCTTATTTAAAATATCTAATATCCCACCGTATTATATCAATGATTGTCGGTAATCACGATATAATTTGATTGCTTTAATATCAGCTATTATAGCAGCTATTACTGCAACTGTTTATGCTACATAAATTAAACCTTAATATTAGCTTAAAGGTTCATTTTCTATTGCTGAATTCAGCGTGTAGAAACCAAAGTTCTTAGCAGTTTTAAATCATCTCATAAGTCGTAAGTTTATTCTACTTACAAAATCTATCTATATTTTTCTCTGTATTTTCGAAGCTAACTGTTACCATCGTTCGTTTTAAACTTGGATGTTCGAGTTTTTGGAGAGATTATGTTCTTTTAGGGGTGTCATCTAATGTACCCATTAGACTAATAGAGTTGAATTTGTTTCTACGACAGTGGTTCACCATGAGACGATATTTTATTCTCTTATTTGATTTATTATTTTGTCTATTATATCAATACTAATGTCTCATTTTGCAGTGCATGTACTAACATTACGAGGGCCTTAAGTCACAATGTAATTAGATACTCATGTAAAAAAAGTATACGCCAACAAAATCCTAAATTTTGAGTCAAAGAAAATTTTGGAACAATAAAAATCTAAGTAAAATTAAACTCAGACATTTCATGGTAGGGGTGTTCAAATAACCGAACTAATTCGGTTAACCGACCGAACCAAATTAATTCAGTTAATTCGGTTCGGTTACTGAATTAGTTCGGTCGGTTAACGGTTAAGAAAAATTTTAGAATTCGGTTAACGGTTAATTCGATTCGAAATCGGTTAATTAACCGAAATTAAATTTTAAATATTAAATATATTATATATAACATATGGGCTCAGCCCAAACTATTTAAAACCCAATTAATAATTTAAGATCTAATAACTTTTAAACCTAAATCAATATTAATTAATTAAAAATTTTATATAAAATTTGTATTTTATAATTATATATTATTTAAATTAATTGTAAACTATTTTTTTAATTAAAAAATATTAAATATATTATATATAATATATGGGCTCAACCCAAACCATTTAAAACCCAATTAATAATTTAAGATCCAATAACTTTTAAACCTAAATCAATATTAATTAATTAAAAAAATTATCTGAAATTTTTATTTTATAATTCTATATTATTTAAATTAATTATAATTTTTTTGAATTAAAAAACATTTAATTTTTATATAAATTAGAAAATTTGTAAAATTTTCGGTTAATTCGAAAATTAACCGAAATTGGTTCGGTTCGATTAATATTTTTGAAATTTTTTTTGGTTCGGTTAACAGTTAAATAAAAAAAATTCAGTTAATTCGGTTATGGTTAATTCGGTTCGGTTTTAACCGAATGAACAACCTTATTTCATAGTATCCAGGGATGGACTGAAGGGTGTTGAGGTGTCATTACGCTGATAGAGATGAATTTGCTTCTGTGACAGTGGTTCACCGTGACACAATATTTTATTTCCTTATTTGATTTATTATTTTATATATTGTATCAATATTAATATCTCATTTTATAGTATATATATTATATATATATATATATATATATATATATATATATATATATATATATATATATAAAAGGCCTATGTCAACAAAATCCTAAATTTTGAGTCAAATAAAATTTTGGAAACAATAACAAATCTAAGAAAAATTAAACTCTATCATATAATTTGAAAATTAAACTCAGACATTTCATAGTATTCAGGGATGAACTGAAGGGTGATAGGGTGCAATCACTTTCTAAAAATGATTTTAAGTTTCCTTATATTTTAGGGTTTTTTTTATTTTTTATTTTATAAATTATCTAATTTCGCACCCTCTAAAATTTTATAACTCGACTCCTCCTAATTTTTTTTATATAACTTCTTAAGTCCACATCCTATAACATAAATTCCCGCGTCTGTGTACAATACTATCTACTTTTTAATATAATGTTTAGAGCATTCTAAATTTTACATGATTTGTCAAGAACGCCCCAAAATTCCACTTTCAAAAAACTAAATAACAATTAATCATACTTCTATGTAAGTAATCAATCGCCATTTGAATAACAAATGATTCGTTTGGCAAATGTTCATCTTGTATCCGTATTATTTTGCGGGTAAACTATATATTTAATACTTAAACTATCAGTTTTTATTCATTTTAGTACCTAAACTTTCAATTCTTTCATAATCATACATAATGTTTAGTTTTTGTTTTATTTTAATACCTCGTCGTTAAAAATTTAACAAGTTTAGTACCTAAACTATCAGTTTTGATCCTTTTTAGTACCTAAATTTTCAAAAAAAAAAAATCAAAACTTAACGTTAAATTTTGAACGGAGGTACTAAAATGAACAAAAAAACTAATTAGGTATGATTTTGAAAAAATAAAAGTTTAAATACTAAAACAGACCAAATATTATAGTTTAGGTACTAAACGTATAATTCATCTTATTTTGTTTTGTCAATATTCAACTTGATTCATCTCTACCCTAACTTCCACCAAAAAGCCCCACTCATAATATACTCATTAGTATTCAACTCCGGTCTACCAAGTTGATGGATCATCTTAATCTCCTCGTACAACTAAGGATGGCTAATCCTAATTCTACGGTTTCGACTTGATCTATTCGATAGGATTGGATTTTTTTTATAAAACAATTAGGTTCAGGTCGGATTTATTAAGGGGTGAGGTCGGGTTAAGTTGGGTTCAGGTAGAAGGTGAAAAAAACTTCGACCGATTTAAGGATAATAATGTAATTTTTTTTAATTTTTTAATTAAATCTTTATTTTACATAGGATCAGGTCGGATTTATACTCTAAAAAATTTGGTTAGGTCCGAGTTGGGTAAAAATATATATTTTTGGGTCGAATAGGATCAGATGAAGGATATAAAATTTTCGAATTTAATCTAACTCAGATGGATAATACATATTTTTAGATCAGTCGAATTGACAAAAAACCCAACCCATGACCATATCTGCATGCAACTTGTTGCTCACATCCAAAATACTTTACTTTGCCGTAAATTAAAACATAAATACAATTAGGATTAAAAAATATATTTGAATTGTTAATTTTTAAATCAATGATTTAATGACAAGATTTAACATTATTTTATTGAGTCATTTGACTATTAAAAGTTATAAAATAATCCTTCAATTATAGGACGTTACTTTGTTGAGTCCATCAACTATTAAAAGTTACAAAATAATCACCTAACTATTTATATGTTTCAAACTCATATTTTTTTAATTAAACAATTTATGACAATTTGAGTTAGACGTTAATATGATAACTGAAATATGATAGTCGTTTGAGATTTTGAGATAAAATTTTATCTTACACAAACAACAGGTTATCGTCTAGCTCAGACTACTGTCAATTTCTAATAGAAAAAAGACAAGTTTGAAACATATGAATAGTCGGTGATCGTTTTGTAACTTTTATTAGTCGGGTGACATAACAAAGAAATGTCTTATAGTCATGAGATCATTTTATAACTTTTAATAGTCAGAAAACTCAATAAAGCAACGTCGTTTAGTTGGGGATAATTTGTGTATGGGATATAGGGAAGGAACGAGAGTGCTCCTAGTGAGTCTATAACTCATTACTTAAAAGAATATATAAAAATAAATAAAGATGAACAACTCGACCAACTAACAAAATTTACTCGCTTAAAATAATCTAATCTCTAAACTAATTGTTCAAATTTTATAAAATATCAGGACCAACATTAGTTTTCTAATATTTTTTTTATTAAACTAAGGTGATTATAAAGCAATATATGCTCCAAATACTTTTAACCATTTAACAACGAACGCTCCATCACCCTGCTGTTCGAACCCGTCATCTACAGAAATAATAACGATTCCTTTAACCACTAAGGTAAGTTGATCCATGTGATTTTTCTAATATCTAGATGATGGTATTAATTTAGAACAACATAATATCAACCACTTATATTATATTCAAACGTTATTTGCCTTTTCATTTTAGGTAGTGAAACCTCTCTTATTATTATTAATAATAATAATAACAAAATTTCATGATATTGTACTTACATGTCACCCTTTGAAAGGGACATCCTACCTATATATAAATAATTGTCATTGTCAAACATAAATGCTCCATAAGGTTTAGATTCTTTCTTTCTCTCTATATATTATTAGTGGTCATACATTTGTCGTTCATCCTCATAAGTCGTACGTAATATTATTAGCCGACATTTTTCTTGCAAGACCACACAATATTTTGATTAATATAATGTGGCAATAATGTATATGCATTTTATTGCAACATCGTTCAAGGCTGCTGTTTTAAAGTCTAAAAGGGTTGGTGGAAAATAACCTAACCATGAACATGAAATGATAGAAACGATGAAGTTGGATGAATGTAATCAACAAATTCGATCAATTAATTAATTAATTCGAATCAGATATTACAGAGACAATAACGACTATCTCAATTCAATTTGATCTATTTACAATTCAGTTGCTTAGGAGATTTAATATCTCATCCCACTAAATCAACTGACTGTTGGTTATAATGATAATTTTATTTAACTAATAATATGTGAATATAATCATATTATATTTCATATGATAATATAATGTGGGGTAGATCAACAAAAGACAACTGTTATCCATGAAAGGAATCAATCATAAAGAAGTCACAAGAGACATTCATTATATAAAGAGAATAACATGTGGGGGAATATATATATATATATATATATATATATATATATTATGGTTAAAGGAGAAATAAACCTAAGTAGAAAGGGTTGGGGATAAGCATGGAGAGGTTGATGGGGCCAAGTTGTCACGTTGTTGGGGGTGTCACTGTTTACAGATATATTTGTCTCTCTCTTGCAACTCTATGCGATGTCTTTATTTATTATTTACAATAATAACTTTATTTAGAACTCATAAAATGGTTTCCAATATCATAACGTGTTATTCTTCTTACAAATCTTGAATTTAAATAATTATGTCTGTAAAATTTACGTCGTTAATATTTAAAAAGATTCTGAATATAAACTACCGTAGTAATTTTTTTTTTTTTTGAATTGTTTGATTGAAAAGGAGATTAAAGCATGTAGAAAAACAGGTGAAGAGCTCATCAATCTATCATCTCAGATTCTGTTTTCTGTGGTGTTATTATTATTATTATCAACTTTCTTTTTTCAACATCATTTTCCCCAGAGAATGTTGGTTTGCTTTTAGTTCTCCACAGCACAGAGCAGGTATAGGAAAAGTAATGAAAACACAGTTTCTTTCCATCTAAAAGTTGATAATTAACCTTCGTGGCCAAGAATCTGAGAGAGGAAGTATATATATATATATATAGACACACACACATATATATATATATATATATATGCAGAACAGTTTAGCACCCATTATTGGTATCAGCCCTTTTGACAAAGAGGGAAAATAAAGTTGGGATAAACTAAAAGCTGAAATTCCCAAGTATCATATGTTGTAGAGGGCTAAAAACACAGTCTGTTTCATCCAATAAAGACATAAAGTTGATAATGAACCTTCATGGTCAAGAATCTAATATATATATATATATATATATATATATATATACACACACACATATATATGTAAATCGTTAAGCACCCATTATAGCTATCATTCCTTTTGACAAAGAGGGTTACATTACACAACTTACAATGCAATATCAGATGAAGCTTCAGCCCCCCATTATTCCTCTCTAGCAAATGTTTTTGATAATCTAAAGAGAGTTTATAAAGTTACAGAAACTGACCCATTTTTATACGAACCTCAAACTTGGAGCTGTGAAAGTTGTATCATGGTGTTCGCCAACCAAGCAAAAAAATGAGTAATAAAACCCCCAAAATCATGCAGGCCTGTTCCTTTTATGACCGCCATTGGAGTCACCTTCAGACGAGCCAATATGATCGGCGGATTTAGAGACAGAACTGGAAAGATCAGCATAGATATCAACCGCCCTCCTTATGTTGTTGTTGAGCTCCCTGATCAACCCAACGTTCCTTCCCAAGTTGTCGGGGATCTTGGACTCGTGGTTCTGGTTTATCTCGTTGATCAGCAGCCTATTCTGGTCCAATATATTCTGGACCTGAACAAAACTCTTCTGAAATGTCTGCACCACTTTGCCATCCACCTGACCGCCATTGCCGAGCCTAAATGTGTCGCCCTCCATTCCTTTCTTTCCTTAAATCTCCAACTCACAGCTCTATCAAATCAAAAGAAACCATAATGAACCAAAAGAAAAACCAGTCAATGATGCTGATAAGATTATTAATCTTTTCAACAGCAAAAACGACAGTGAATATATATATATATATATATATATACACACACACATATACATACACATATAACAGATAAAAACAATAATTCACACATCTTTTTATATAAAAAAAGGGGGGAAATAGCATCAAATTCTGGGAGTAAGGAGCTGATAAGGAAACCGTGAGTTTAAAGAAAAGAAAAGCCCTCGTTAATTCAACTATAGAAGAGGTAAAATTACAAAGACAAAGAGATACCATCACATGTTCTTGTTCTTTTGAACCGTTTTCCTAAAGATGGACTTATAATAGCCAGGTAGTACTTACTTTAACATACGTACCTTGCTGGAGCATCATGTTTTCTGGGAATTAGACACAGATTCAGAGCAGGAAAGCGTGTTTCAGAACCCCAAAAAAGAATGAATTATTGAGAGTTTTTAGAGAGACAGAGAGAGAGGAGAGATAATAGTATATGTAGATTAAGTATATCTGAGTTCTATATATATAGACACAACTATTTTCCTTTAGTTTCTGGGGATTGAGTGGGGGATGAGATTGGTTTGTGAGTTATGCTCAGATCCGGGGGCATGATGAATGATTCGAGCAAGGTGTTCATTATTTGCCACGTGGCGTTTGGACATTGATGGAAAATCTCCCATCTATCAATATATATAAAACCTACTTTTATAATATCCATGTTTTGTTTGCTTTGGTAGATGGAAATATATCTATATAATATTTTATAATATTTTTATTATTATAATACTATAATAGAGATTCATTATTACCAAGAACCAGTTAATCTATGAGATGAAACATTAAATTCTATAAGTATGGTCAGGATTTCGAATCTTGACATTTATGTATGGAGTAAATTGGGTTTGGGGTCGTTTCCATAATAAATCTTTGCAAAACTCGGTTTAGATTAATTGGTTAATAGATCAGATACAAATGATTAATTAAGAAATATTTTGAATGTCATTTTCAATTTTTTAATAATTAAATGGTTTAATAAGGGATAATGGGATTGATTTTTGGACAGACGATAATCTAATTGTCTTTTATTTTTTTTAAGGAATATTACTACATATTATCCAAAGTTTTCAAACCCAATAAGAATCTGAAAATGCAAAAAAATGGAATCCTCGTAAATTGATTAAATTAGCTTTTCTTTTATTTAGAATTTATTTTAGTTTTTAAAGTATAATCATCTATATTTATTTTTTATCCGATTAATCTATATCGGTTACCGTAAATTCATGTTACTAGGATATTTCTCTCAATCTACTAGTCTATTAATTCAGATCGGATTATTGGGATTTCATCTCATCATACTAATTGATAGCTAACTCATCTCATCATACTAATTGATAGCTGATTTTCTTTAGAGATAGACATAGGTCGGGTTGTATTAAATTTTCATTTTATCTGAATCTGACCCGAGTTTTATATCCTTTGTCTGTATTGAAAAATAGAGAGACTTAATCCGACTTAATTGAAAAATATAAAGAGATATATATTATTATAATTATTCTTAAATACAGTAGGATAATTACATTATTGTCTTGAGTCGGGACATGTTAAAAAAACATTTATCTTAAAACATAACAAGACCCAATCTTATCCTCTTAAAAAAAGTCATTTCGAACCCGTATTTTAAAAAATTAAACATATTAAACTAAGATCATTATTCTTAATATTTATTAATTTGTTGGTGTTTATGTTGATTTTGGTAGGGTAAATATTAAAGTAGGACTTAGGGGTGTAAACAAGTGGAGTCAAGTTCGAGATTGTTGAGCTCGATTCGACTCGAAAGCTAGTGAGCTTAAAATTTTTAAGCTCGACCCGAACTCGAAATCCTGAACTGAAACTCGTGAGCAGCTCGAAGAGGCTCGAAATGAAAAAAAAATCTTAAACTTAACTAAATTGAAGCCTCAAACTCGAACTTGAACTTTAAATACATGAAAACATTATTGTATTTTTTAAAAATATCAACACATAAATGTTAATATTATTAATAATTTATTTTTTAAAAAATAAAATTTTAATAAATTATATTTTTGAGTTGCTCACGAGATTTTTGAGTCGAGTATCAAGTAGCTCGTTTCGACTCGTTAAGAATTCGAGTCGAGTTCGAACTCGAGTTCATTCGATCTAAATATTTATCGAACTTTGATCAAATTAATCTTAAGTAACTCGCGATCATTTACAACCGTAGTATTGGCAAACATTGATAATTGAGAGAGGGAAAGGGACAAAGTATTTGACTGCAAGTGGGATACCAGCCCATGTGGAAATGAAATTTTGAAAGATTAAAGGTGACTGGTGAGTGCAAGTGGGAGACGATGAGATGTGACGCCACTTCATTTCTTCCGTATTTAGGTTTAGATTTTGTCAACATTTGAAAGTAGCAAAAAAAAATATTTTTATAATATTTTTATTTGGGTATAATTTGAAATGTTAATCTTTTAATATTTTTTATCGAAACAAAAAAAAGTATAATATCTTCAATTGTCAACTGAAAATATTACGAAAAAAATTTACAACCGAAAAATGTTAAGAATAAATTAACATTTTAAGTTATGTTCAATAAAAAATATTATATTTTTGGTAGCATATTTACGTGATATGTTATGAATATATATATATATATATATATATATATATATATATATATATATATATATATTTGCAACGTATGGAATATAAATAATTTCAAAATTCAGATACTATGAAGAAAACTATAATCGAATGGGGCAGGATAAGGTTAGGAGTTAGGACCACGACCACATTTATTCTTGACAAACTGTTTACTATCAATAAAGAGGCAACGAGGATGTACACAAATTGTGGTCCATGAATTTCATCCACATGACCAAAACTAGAAGACAAGTATGTTATATTTTTCATTAAAATATATACCTAATTTATTAAAAAAAATACATATGATATTTTTATAAAAATATATAATAATACTAAACTAGCCCTTAATATTTACCTAGAACATCATAAGATGCAGATAAATTGAATTCACATATATATATGTGACCACGTTAGAACTTATATCTGATGCAGGAGTCGTCTCTTCACAATGATCAATGCTCTCCCCAGATTGTATGAAATCGTCAGTGGCAATGTAAATGAAAAGGCAAAGGAAGAGCCATCGGATTGTAACCCTAGCCGCAAGAGATTCAAGCCAAGTGCACGAGCTTCTAAATCCTCAAGCAGCAGGAGCAAGAGAGCAAAGGGTAAAGAAAGTGTATCATGCGGTTCATGTGGAGGACGTGAATCACATGAGGACTGGATATGTTGTGACACGTGTAATCACTGGTTCCATGACGTATGCGTTAACATTACCCCTCACCAGGCTGAGCAGGCGAAGGGCTACTAATGTCTCTATTGCAGCAACATGGGAAAGCAGGCCAAGTGATCATTCTGACTGGTTTTTCGACCACTGTTTTGAAAGTGTAAACAAGAAGATGGAGGATATAACTATGCATTTGATTATCGATGCATGAATGAAATTGATAACAGAATGTGAATCCCATGTTGATCGGTTTGGTTTTCCAATAGGACAAGAGAATGTTAGTTAATCACCTCGTGTAGGACGTGAGATCAACTAGGTTCCAGTTAATCACCTCGTGTAGGACGTGAGATCAACTAGGTTCCATTCGATTTCTATTGCTAGTCAACCTCGTGGATAGAGATGATTATGGGTTAGGGTTGGGTTTGGTTTATGGCCCACCGGAGCCTAACCCGAAAATTAAACATCTCTACTCGTACCATACTTGATTTTAAGAGGGTCGGGTCTCACTTGACACCCGAAATTCGATCTGATTTTTCGGGTCAAAATTCACACTTGATTCAACTCGATTTATTTACATAATTTATTTTTATTAGGTAAAATAAGAATATAATTGAAAGAAATAATATAATCAAAATAAGGTTTAAGGATTATTTAATTATGTTCATGTAGTAGAGTCAATTTATCATTTTTGCATCAATTTGTCCCTCGATATTGTTTAATTGCATCACCCTAAACCTTAACTTAAAACCCTAAACAATAGTGAATATTTCAAATATTTATGCAATCAAACAACTTCGAGGGTTAAATTGATATTAAAATACTACGTGGTGAAAATGATAAATTATGTCTATTATAATAGCAAAAGTAGCTAAAGATAGCAATTTAATCCAAATCCGATGATTATTTTTTATGAAAATAAGCCTTAAGCCTAAAAATAATATGAAAATGGGTATTATTTTTTTATTACAAAAGAAAGTAGCTCGCAGGCTACATAGCTCTGGGAGCTAAAGCCTCACTATCAGCCTGGAGAATATCCTTCACCACATCAGGACAAGATAATGTTAGTTAAATGGACGGTGGGTGTACGTATGAACTGGGAAAAAAAGACCCATGTGGGTGTATTTTCTATAAGGGTAAATTACACGCTTACTAACTGAATTTTACTCTCTCTCTTTATTCACTCATCGTATGTTTAATTTTTTCAATTTGCTTATTGAACTTTAGACATTGATCCTTTTTTTCACTCGACCATTAAATTTCTAACGGCGTTAATTAAAATTGAAAAAAATTGAAAGTACAGTGAGTAAAATAGGAGAGAATGCTAAGTTCAATGAGTAAACGTGTGGCATATTTTATTATTAAAATAAGCCACATAAGCTGATAAGCACACCCGTTATTGAGTAAACGATCGAGTGACCAAAAAAGTTCAATGTCTAAAGTTCAGTGACCAAATTGAAAAATAGAAAGTAAGGTGACTGGAATAGAAGAGAGATAAAGTTCAATGAGTAAGCGTACAATTTACCCTTTCTGTAATAACATATGACTGCTGAAGAAAAGAGGTCGTCCATGTACCAACCGCGGCATTTTCCACAAGGCCAATGGTCAATTCCACACTTCCATTAATTGTTTAATATTCAATTTAGTCCTCAATTGTAAACAATTTCCCCTTAATTTTCACCTTTACTTACTACATCAAGAAAAAACAAAGAGTTAGTTAGCAAAAGAAAATTTAATTATTAGTATAACATTTTTATATTAATATCCAAATATTAGTTATTAGGGTAAACTACTTGTTTAGTACATAAATTATCAACTTCGGTTCGTTTTAGTGCCTAAATTTTCAATTCTTTTTAAAACCATACTTAACGTTTAGTTTTATTTTTTTTTAGTATCCATCCATTACAAACCTAATGGACGGACTCGTCGGTCACCACGTCTATGATCGTCGGACGATGAAGCCCTAACTTTCCAGCTCGCACCTTTTCGACCTTGGGCGCAATTTTGACCTTCATTTTATCGAAAAACAACTCATTTGGAATGATTATGAAAAAAATAAAAGTTATGGAGTCACCACTGGGTTCGGTCCTACGTCTCATCGATGTACCGCGAAGGCTTCCGACCTCCAGACGGAGCTTATAAGATTCTTGAACGCCGGTGTGATCGGGAAAGAGTATCTTCCGACGAGTTATTCCAAGGCGGTTATGCTTGTTCGTGCCAACACGC